GTACGTGAAATTGGACTCCAGATAGTCCAGCCAGCGTATCTGCCGTGGGTTGAGATTCGGCTGCGCCCTCAGGTACTGTAGTGATTTGTGATCAGTTCGCACCGTCACGTCTGCTCCAGTCAGGTAGCACCTCCAGATTTTGAACGCGTGGACGATCGCCAGCAACTCCTTGTCGTGTATCGGGTAGTTGTGCTTAGCAGATTGCATTTTCTGAGACTCGTACGCGATTGGTTGAAGCCCGTTGCCGAAATCCTGCATGAGCACTGCTCCGATGGCGATGTCACTTGCGTCGGTGATGACTTCGAAGGGCCGTTCCGGGTCAGCGATGCGAAGTACCGGAGGCGACATTAAAAGATTTTTTAATGCCTCGAACGCAACTTGCTGCTTCTCCCCCCACTCGTAAAAAGTTCCCTTTTGCAGTAGGTCGGTTAGCGGTCCAGTTAACCCCGCCATGTTGGGTATAAACCTCCGTACATAATTCACGAAACCCAGAAATGATTGCAGCTGCTGCAAATTTGTTGGTGGTTTCCACTCCTGAATGGCCTGGAGTTTTTTCGAGTCTATTCGAATCCCCTCCGTGGAGATCACGTGCCCCAGGAACTCCAGTTCTTGTTTTAAAAACTCGCACTTGGAGCCCTTGGTCGTGAGTCGATGCTGCTGTAACCGCTGGAAAACCGCTTCCAAATCTTTTAAATGCTGCTCCCGGGTCTTGCTATAAATCAGGATGTCGTCCAGGTAAATGATCACGCATTTGTCGAGTAGATCGCGGAACACCCCGTTCATGGCGAGTTGAAACGTCAAGGGGGCATTCGTTAATCCAAATGGCATCACCGTGTATTCGTAACTCCCATAGCGAGTACAAAACGCGGTCTTGTGGCAGTCGTCAGCGAACACTCGAATTTGATGGTAACCGCCACGAAGGTCGATCTTCGAAAAGTAGCGAGCTCCGCGAAGGTTGTCGATCAGTTCGTCCGTTCGTGGGATTGGGTAGCACGATTTAATCGTTACCCGATTAAGGGCACGATAATCCGTACACATGCGAAGTCCGCCGTCCTTTTTTGGTGTGAATAGGATCGGTGCTGCGAACGGTGACGTGCATGGCCGAATGAACCCTTTCGCCAGCAGGTAGTCCAGCTGGTTTTGTAACTCCTGTAGTTCCGGCTGAGTCAGGCGCCATCGCGTGCGTACAGTAGGTTGCGCGCCAGGCTCCAGCTCGATTTTGTGGTCCTGGGGTCGTTCGGGTGGCAGTCCACTTGGCAAGTCGTCCTGGAAAATCTCAGGATATTCCCGAATGATTTTCGCCAAGTCATCCGGGACCGAATCGCAGAGTGTGTTGATGTCGATCGCCTCATTCTGCTCCATCGATTCGGTTAGATGGACGGCGTATAAATCCGCTCCATTCCTGACCGCTCGTTTGAGGCACACCGCGTTGACTCGTGTCGAGGTCGTCTCTGCTTCCGGCCACGTCGGTAGTTTTCGCTAGCCTTTTTCGCACTTCACTGTGCACTCGCCTGTCGTCCAATCGATCTGCGGGTTGAATCTCCACAGCCAATCGCGTTCCAATAGCACATCGTAGCCGTCGAGTGTTGTCGCCAACATCGGCGCGTTGAAACCAAAATCGTCGCCGCACTTCATTCAAACGACGGGTACTTTGTCGCGTATCGCCAGCGGGGTGCCGTCCACCAATCGCGCGTCGATTTCGGGTAGACACCGCTCCAGCGTCAGGTGTAGTCGTCGTGCTGTCTCTCGATTTATCAGGCTGTGACTCGCACCTCCGTTGATGAATATTTTGATTTTTCTTCCGTTGAGTCGTCCCTCCACCAGTACAGGGTGGTCCACTGGTTCATCCCCCTTATTCAGCCGGGAGCGGTTGATAGCATGTATCGGAACCACTACCCGGTGGGGATGGTGTTTTTCGGGCGATGAGGCAGGGTTAGTAGGGGGCCCGACCGCTACTGACGCTTGGCGTTTCCCGACCTGCCCTCGTCGTTCTTCTTTATCTGCTTCTTTCGGGGGCAATCGTGAGATTGGTGACCCGGCTGGTGGCAGTTGAAACATTGTCCCTTGCGAAAATCGTCCATGTGCTCCTTCGCCACTACGCCGTGAATCGTGGGCCGTGGATTCTGGCCACGAAAATGATTTCCCTCCCGGGAACCCGCTCTCGCATACGTCAGATGCGCGTCGAAGTTGTCTGCGATCCGGACAGCTTCGTGAAACGTCGCCGGCAGTCGCAGTCGGACCTCGCATTTAATGTCCTGCTTCAAACCCAAAATGAATCGAGCTTTCTTCTCGGAGTCATGCATGTCGGTGATTTGATCGCATAACGCCATGAAGACCGACGCGTAATCCTGGACAGAACTCCACTGGCGCCAGCTGTCCAGCTTCGTGCGTGCGTTGTCCGAGGCAGATATTGGCTCGAATCGTTCACGCAGAGCTGTACCCCACGCCTTCCACGTGCGAATCTTGGTCGATCCGAAAATCGCGGTTGACCCTTGGGCAGCAGACCCAAAGTTTCCGAAAAACCCCTGTGTGTCGCTTGCCGAAAACTCCCCCTCCTGTAGAGTATATCGCCACCAATCTAGAGCAGGTCCCCGCAGTAGTGATACAGCTAGTCGAATTTTTAAATTGTCAGCAGTGATCCCAGCGGCATTAAAATAAAAATCCGCCAAAAATAACGAGCCCGTAACAGTAGTATTCTTATCGGTGGGGTTGAACAAGGGCGGCATTGTCGGTTTGATCGTCGCTGTCGTCACGATCGGCATAAACGCCAGTGCGGCTATAGTAGCAGCTGCTTCTGACCGAGCGGCTGTTGCTGCTGCTGCTTCGTCTGCTGCTCGTGCTGCCACGTCAGCTGCTGCGGCGGCTTCACTGTCCTTGCGCTCCTGTGACACCTGACGTGCGATTTCGTCCAAGACGGTTTCGACACGTCCGGTGCTGGCGACCTCTTCTTGGGCTGCAGATTTCTGACGCGAATCCTCTCGCGCCTGGCGTAACTCAGCAACTTCCGCACGAAGTCACTCGTTGTCCTCCAGTACTGTAGCCATGCGTGTGTTCATGGCGTTGAACTGCTCCCGAAGCTCGTTGAACTGAGCCTGGTTCATTTGGCGAATGCTCAGCCGGGGCAGGGGGAATTCCGTCGTGTGCCTGTACTCAAGTAAGCGCAAACGCTATCGTAGTTGGGCGAATTAATCAATCTAATTCGCGAGCAACCGCTTTGCAGCTTACGTGAGGGACCTACCCCCCCCCCAAAAAAATCAACTCACGAAAACGGGTGAGCGAGGAAAGTGGCTCTGAGTACCAGGTGTCATGAATGAACAAGCAGAGTAGCGCGGAAATGAATTACGAAGTGTTCACTCAATGAATGACGATACAAGGAATGGCAAGCCAAGATATAGGAACACCAGAGCTAGTCTAACCCTGCGATGGTAAGGTTCGGGAAGGAGATCGAAGGGTCTCGAAGTGACGAAGCGAGGCCCGGAGAACTCCCGAAGGTCGAACCGAAAGGTCTGGAGAAGCCGAGGCGGTTCTGTCAGAAGGTCTGGAACAATCCCGAGGCTTCGGGTGTGTTCGAGCGTACGCGATAGCAGTACCGCTCGGTAAGGAATAGAAAATTCCTTACATTGCGACTGACCGTTACAACTGCAAGGGTGGTAACCGAATCGACCATCGAGTCGCTGTGCGACTCGATAACCGTTCCTTCAACTGTATTCTACAGCTGCTTTACTTTCCTATTTTCTATATATTGCTGTATGCTTATTTCCTTTAAAGCAAGAAGGTAAAATAGTGAAGGCTGGCCCAACTTGAAAGAGGACTCCCCCCTGTGACTTCTCTTGGAAACCTGGGCTGACAAATTACTGTTCCAAAGTGACGCGGGTTGGAAAATTGAAGTTTGATCTCAAAGCTGATTGGATCCAGCCAACATGATCGTCGCGAGACGAAACTCACGACGTGCCAAAGCTGTATTTCTGACACAAAATGCTTGTCAGGGTTAGCGTTTCCCTGTGCGATTCTGGCATGGCATATGCATGCGACGGGTTGAGTCTTTCAGATCCAGTTGGGCCCAACTCGGATTTCAAGTTGGGCCTGGGTTCATAATTGCTGCAAAGAGCACTTCTCCATCTCCTACGCGAAAGTCCATTTCCTGGCTAGTTGTAGTCTACTAACAGACGCGTAGCTACCTAGTTCCGCTAGTTGACCCCCTGTTTTTTCTGCCTTAGTGCCTAGGAACAGTGAGGAAAATGTGACGCAACGATAAAGGGAGAGAGTGGCGCGGCGGGAGGGAAAGAGAGATAGTTACGCGGCGGGAGTGAGAGAGAGCAACGCGATGGGAGAGAGAGCAGCGTAGCGAGATGGGGGAGAGACAGAGTACCTATTTGCGGGAGAGAGAGAGAGAGAGAGAGAGAGAGAGAGAGAGAGAGAGAGAGAGAGAGAGAGAGAGAGAGAGAGAGTAGCGCGATGGGAGAGAGAGAAGGAGTAGCGCGGCGGGCGAGAGAGAGAGTAGCGCGATGGGAGAGAGAGAGAGTAGCGAGATGGGAGAGAGACAGAGTAGCGCGGTGGGAGAGTGAGAGAGAGTAGCGCGATGTGAGAGAGAGAGAGAGAGAGAGAGAGAGTAGCGAGATGGGAGTGAGACAGAGTAGCGCGGCGGGAGATAGAGAAAGTAGTGTGATGTGAGAGAGAGCAGCATGGTGAGATGGTAGAGAGACAGAGAGTATCGCAGCGGGAGAGAGAGAAAGTAGCGCGATGGGAGAGAGAGCAGCGCAGCGAGATGGGAGAGACAGAGTAGCGCGAGGGGAGAGAGAGAGTAGCGCGATGGGAGAGAGAGAGAGTAGCGTGGCTGGAGAGAGAGAACAGCATGGCTGGATAGAGTGTGTAGCACCGTGGGAGAGTGTAATGCGGCGCGACGAGAAAGAGAGCGAGGCGGAGAGCTGCAAAGAGTTGCGCTGTGAAAGAGAAGGTGGCGCATGGCGACAATCTTGCTCCTTTGGACTTACACTCACCCTCTCCCCCATCATCACCTCTCCCTTCGTTTATGCACCTCTTCCTCTCTCTCTCCACGCCTCTCCCTCTCTCTCTCTCTTCGAATCTTCCTCTCTCTCTCTCTGCACCTCTTCCTCTCCCTCTCTCTCTCCGCGCCTCTTCCTCTCTCTCTCTCCGCACCTCTTCCTCTCTATCTCCGCGCCTCTTCCTCTCTCTCTCCGCGCCTCTTCCTCTCTCTCTCTCCGTGCCTCTTCCTCTCTCTCTCTCAGTGCCTCTTCCTCTCTCTCTCTCCGTGCCTTCTCCTCTCTCTCTCCGTACCTCTTCCTCTCTCTATCCGCGCCACTTCCTCTCTCTCTCCGAGCATCTTCCTCTCTCTCTCCGAGCATCTTCCTCTCTCTCTCCGAGCATCTTCCTCTCTATCTCCGCCCCTCTCCTTCGATTTTGCCAGGTCTTTCCATCTCACGCTCCCCCTCTGAACACTTCTTCCTCACCGTCATTCTCCCGCTCTCCGCACCTATCGCCACGAGTCTCTCTCTGTGTCGTGATTTTGGTATTTTGCACTCTGTATTTTACTCGCAACGTTTTATTTTGCTGGTACTTTGAAGTGACACTTGAGGGGGAAATGCGTGCCTTGGGCTCTCAAAATCAATGTCTTCAGCTTGTCTTTCACAGGGTAGCGGGATGGCTTGTGATTTGCGACAATCATGCAAAATGTTCACTCGTAATTTGTCGCCAACTATCTTACAAACACAAACTTCCCCCCTAACAAAAAAATGTCTCGCAAGTTTCCAACCAACACACTCTTGAGCCGAACTATTTCGAGTTGGGTCCAACTTGAAAAGGGGGTCACTATTCTAACCTCTCGCTTTAAAACCACAGGCTAAAATAGCATTGGGGGGGCTTCAAGAGCGCCGTTCTTGAAAATAGTTCTTTTGAAAAAAAACGGGTTCCCAGTACGATTTTGCGGGGTGCGTTTTTGGGCAGCTGAACAATGATAGAAACGCAGTGGCGCCGATTTGCTCTCACATACTAGGGTTCAACAACTCAATTTCCGCTGCACTACTCAAGTATCTTGTACAACTGGGACTTAGTCTCTGAAAGATCCTAAGGGCTTTTTCTCGACCCAACAACTATCAAACACATTCTTGCACCCACCGACATTCAAATACTGCAGCATTTCCAGCTAAGGCAAATCTTAAGGACGTTGTTAGGAGTTTTGACTTCATGTATCATTTTCATAAAACGTGGTTTTCTGCCTAATCAAGCATCTCACGAAATGGCACCATACCATGCTAGGACGTCATCTGGGCCAATTGTATATTGCCGCAGTTCTCAAGCTAGTCAAAGATGTCAGATGAGCAAATGGAGTCCATTCCTCAGCTGGAACATTCATGGGAAAATATATTATGGAGAAGTGGGGTATCGATCCCCATACCTCTCGCATGCTAAGCGAGCGCTCTACCATCTGAGCTACATCCCCATGTCCGATGTAAGTAGATTATAGTATACAATTAATTACATACGAAAAGGAAGCCAATGCATGATCCAGCAGCATAGCATGCCTCTGAGCAATTTCCTTGGGTAATGAAAGAGCTAACACTCGCTTTCAGTGGAAAGAAGAGAGCAGGGACAGAGAGAGGTACCCACATGAAGCCAATACCGGATCCAGCAGCATCACGTGCCTCTGCGCGATGTCCCTGGGTAGCTTCTCGTAGATGAGCTGATGACGCGAGATGGCAGGGGAGGGGGAGGAGAGGAGTTAGGGGAGGAGGGGTGCGGAGACATGAGGGGGCAAGGGATCAAAGGATGCATAAGAGCGATGCCCTTGGGTAGCTTCTCGTATATGAGCTGATGACATGATATGGAAGAGGAGGGGATGGGGAGGACAGAGGAGGAGAAAGAATGCAGCGATCAAGCGATGCCTCTGAGCGATGTCCCTGAGTAGCTTCTCGCATAGGAGCTGATGGGAACGTGGCAGTGGAGGGGAGGGGGACAGGAGGGGAAAGGGTGGGGAGAGATGAAGGAACCAACGATAAACTCGAATGGTTCATATTTTCTAAATGAACTGGCCATCCCTCTCCCCCGTTTGCTGCGGCTGACCACATAAAGCAAGACACCCTCATCTCTCACTTGCCTCCCAAAGCTCCCCCTCCCTGTGAATGGGCAACATGTTTTCAAGAACGTTCGCACATGCTCCCTTATGGCGTGCTCTCGATGCACATGCCCATGCTCATGCTCCCTTGCCGCATGCATATATCCCATGCAGATTTTTCTGCTATAACGGAAGCTTCTGCGGAAGTGCCTGATGCAGACAGAGCTACTTTAGCTCTGCAATTCTCCAGGGAGAAGTCTGCCTCCAGATTGTGTGCTCAGCAACACAGCTTGACAAAGCTTGCATTCACACAAAATTCACTAGAATCAAGAATAATACAGAGTATAGTACACAAGGCAAACGCTAATACTACCTCATTGAACACTGTTAGAACGTTCCTACTAGAACGTTGACATAATTTTTTTCCAACCGCACTTAGCCAAGTCAACTGTTGCGCACATTTCCACAGTTACGAAATGTGCGTCACCTGTGTTCAATTTCTCAATGTCGTAGGTAGATTTGCCTTTTCGATCTAGATCAGTTCATTTCAAAACTTCCAAAGGGGCAGAAATTCGCGCACTTTCGGAACGGCCCCTTAGCGCCAGAAAGTCATTTCTGTCGAGGAGTCGTTCGCAGAAGAGAGTTCCGCGAACTCTTTCTGTAGCGTTCCTACAGAAGAGAGTTCCGGAATCTTTCTGCAGCGTTCTCACAGAAAGAGTTCCGCGAACTCTTTCCGTAGACCTCCCACAGAAGAGAGTTCCAAACTCCTTCTGGAAAGCTCCCACAGAAGAGAGTTCTGAACTCTTTCTGCAGCGCTCCCACAGAAGAGTGTTCCGAACTCTTTCTGCAGGAGCGCTCCCATAGAAGAGAGTTCCTGCGAATGGGCCCTCGCCAAAAGGGTCTTCTCCATTCAGTAATCTGCATAGATCACTCCCACAGAAGACCGCTTTTGTCGTAGAAGCCACATGTAGAAATTCGTCTCTCGCAGGAGCTGCGTTATGAGCAACATAGTCCAATCGACGGGACTGCGCTTCGTCGACGAGCATTTCCGTAGAACCTCGCCTTGTCGACAAATCTGCTATTCGTCGATAGGCCTTTCTGCAGTGCTTACATCCACACCTGCTTACTGAAGTCGCCCTCCCTGTGGAGGGGCCGACAGCCCGGCTGAGTAAACGCGACGAATAGTGATTCGACCTAAACTCTCTTGAAAAGTTCATGAACTTCAAAATCGGCAACTCTAGCAGTCGCGGGATATCAGCAAAGCAGGGGATTATTTCAGCCAGCTACCAGCAAGGCAGGGTCGTGGAAGCAAGGCCCCAAAAAAAGGACGGCTACGATACCGTAGTCTCTGTGTGATGCGGTGTGGTGCGGAACTCTTAATTCAGCAGTCAGCAGCACGTACAGTAGTTTGTGCCTCTAGAAGGTAGCTCCTAGGAGTGGAGGTGCTAGTATTGGGGGGAAAGTGCTCTGCACTGTAGTTGGCGGGGGGGTTATGCACGACTATAAACCTAGCTATGCAGAGGTACCGTATGTATATTTATGCAAAATTATTGGGTAGGTTTTGGAAAATATTGCAAATGACAAGCACGACGGAAGTACTCATTCAGTGCAACTACAACTACCGTTGGATCTCAACCAGGTACGGCGTGTCAGAACTCAGTCACTAACCACTCAGTTAAAAGGGCGTATTACGTAGCGGGTTAGTGCGCCCACAACCCCGCAGGCAAAGAGGCCTGTAGCCCTTCCTCGAGGATCTCTCAAGGGTAAACCCAACGGGTCTCTCGACACCCCCCTGCGCTGGGATAGGCGGAGGACACAAGTGTCAACTTATACATGTTAGCTGTGTACAAGTTATAGGCTAGACTGGGGTATGTTTCTAGTGAGTACAACCAGCTAGTATTTGTTCTAGGTTTCCACTTCTAGTTCATTATTCAGTTCTTACTTTAACATGGTATCACGCGTAGGTTAGGATCCCCCACCTACCGCTTCCGCCCGTACCCTAGCTAGGCCCCGCCGCTTCCCCCTGGGCCCCGTCGCGCCTCCTAGCCTCGTCGCGCCCCTCCTGGGCCCTGCCGCGCCTCCTAGCCCCGTCGCGCCCCTCCTGGGCCCCGTCGCGCCTCCTAGCCCCGTCGCGCCCCTCCTGGGCCCTGCCGTGCCTCCTAGCCCCGTCGCGCCCCTCCTGGGCCCCATCGTGCCCCTCCTGGGCCCCGTCGCGCCTCCTAGCCTCGTCGCGCCCCTCCTGGGCCCCGTAGCGCCTCCTAGCCCTGTCGTGCCCCTCCTGGGCCCCGTCGCGCCTCGTAGCCCAGTCGTGCCCCTCCTGGGCCCCGTCGCGCCCCTCCTGGGCCCCGTCGCGCCTCCTCGCCCCGTCACGCCCCTCCTGGGCCCCGTCGCGCCTGCTAGGCCCCGTCGCACCCTGCCTGGCCCCGCCGCACCTGCTTGGCCCCGTCGCGCCCTGCCTGGCCCCGCCGCGCCCGCTTGGCCCCGTCGCGCCTGCCTGGCCCCGTCGCGCCTGCCTGGCCCAGCGGCGCCCTGCCTAGCCCCGCCGCGCCCGCTTGGCCCCGTCGCACCCGCCTGGCCCCGTCGCGCCTGCCTGGCCCCGCCGCGCCTTCCTGGCCCCGCAGCGCCTGCCTGGCCCCTGCCGCGCCTGCCAGGCCTCGCCGCGCCTGCTAGGCCCCACCGTGCCTCCCTGGCCCCGACGCGCCTCCCTGGCCCTGCCGCGCTTCCCTGGCCCCGCCGCGCCTCCCTGGCCCTGCCGCGCCTGCCTGGCTCCGTCGCGCCCGCCTGGCCCCGCCGCGCCTCCCTGGCCCCGCCGCGCCTCCCTGACACCTGCCGCGCCTGCCTGGCCCCGCCGCGCCTGCCTGGCCCCGCCGTGCCTGCCTGGCCCTGCCGCGCCTCTCTGGCCCCGCCGCGCCTCCCTGGCCCCGCCGTGCCTCCCTTGCCCCGCCGAGCCTGCCTGGCCCCGCCGTGCCTGCCTAGCCCCGCCGCGTCTGCCTGGCCCCGCCACGCCTGCCTGGCCCCGCCGCGTCTCTCTGGCCTCTCCCACTACTCGCCTGGCCCCTCTTCGTGCCTGCTCGGCCTGTCGTGCCACCTCGGGCTCCGTCTCCTCTGCTCGCCAGCGCCGGGGCGTCTCGCGGCTGCCGTGCTGGAGAGTGCCGCCGCTGTGTCCCTGCGTCGATGTGTTCTTGCGGAGCTGTGGAGCTGTGCTGCTGACCCTGCACGATGGCCAACTTCGTGCTCCGCCTGGACGCTGAGGGTCATGCGGTTGACTTCGCCGCCTGGCTCTCCGATCTCCGCCGCCACCTTACAGGTCAGCGCCAGGATGGCCACTCTTTGGTTGTCCATGTCGATGGCTTGCTCCCCCGCCCCCCCGCACCTGCTCCCCTCCCTGCTGACCCCTCCTCTGATGACCGTGAGACCTTCTCTACTGCTGCGCTTGCCGTGCGGTCTGGGACTCCCGCGATGCAGTCGCTCAGGTTGCTATTAGCCACGCCCTCCCTGTGTCTGAGCGCTCGCGCTTTGCTACTATTGAGACGGCCAAAGCTTACTTAGACCCCGTTATTGCTCGCTATTCCACACCCGCGTCTGCTTCTGCTGGCCGCCTGCTCTTCCCTATGCTTTTCCCAGACCTTGCAGCCTTCCCTACCGTCGCAGACTTTGCCACTCACCTGCGTGCCCTAGAGACCCGCTATCGCACTGCCAGCACTGCTGCCCAGCTCACTGCGCTCCCCCCCCCTTTCTGCATAACGCTCTATTTTATCGCCATGCGCCTGCCGGACCTCCTCGCTAGTGCTCGCGATCACTTCCTTAGCCAGCACCCGGGTGATCTCACCCCCACCGCCTTTGTCGATACCCTCACCGAGATCGAGACTCGCCAGCGCACTATCGTTCAGTCGAGCGGTGCGCCGGCAGTCTCTATCTTTCACGGCTGTGCCCCCTCCCAGTGCACGTTCACTGACGTTTCGGCTGCGGTCGCCACGGCGACCCCTCTCACCGAGACGGCTGCTGCGGTCCACCCGCAGCAGCGCTCGCGCCGCGGTGGCCGTGGTCGTCAGGGAGGTAGGGGTGGTGGTGCAGGTAGTGGTGGTCGTCGTCGTCGTGACGGTAGTCCGCCTGAGGGGACTACCACCGGTGGGCAGGAGCAGCAGCCCCAGCCACAGTAGGAGCAGCCCTAGCAGCAGCCGCCACCCCAGCAGCAGCCGCCGTCCC